AGGCGCGCACCCCTGCCCTGCCCCCCGCGCCTTGGGGCCCCCCCAGCTCAGCTGCACACTGCAGACTCCAGGCCCTCCGGCCGCTTTGAAGATGAGAAGCTCAGAGCGGAGCCGTGTAATTAGCGCAATTAAAGGCGCTATTGGGGGGCGCTCTTCGGGGCGCTCTTTGGGGGCGCTCTTCGGGGGCGCTCTTCGGGGCGCCCTTCGGGTGAGCTCTTCGGGGGCGCTCTTCGGGGCACTCTTTGGGGGCGCTCTTCGGGGGCGCACTGCACACGCAGGCTAGGGCGGTGGTGTGGACGCCGGCCCCCAGCAGGTGCCAGGCCCCCCTGCAAGCGCGCCCCGCCCCCTAGGGCACTCTGCCTGTCCGGGGCGTCCTCCGGGCTGGAGAGCACGGGGCGGCCGGCGGCCCAGCGCTACCCTGTCCGTGCTGGCTCTGCCCAGCGAGAGGGGCGCGGCTGCTGCTCGGCCCCCCACAGGGCCTGGCTGGGGCAAACTCTCGCGACCCCAGAATGGGACACCCCACACGGGGGCACCGGGCAGCTCGCGCCCCCGCCGCCATGTCCCATCGGTTCTGGGCTCCGTCTCGCTTCCCGGGCCCTCACTGTCCAGCGCCGGCGAGGCTGCTCAGCCGACTGGACGGGCAGCTCCGAGTCCGTCTGTTCTGACGGCCCCATGGCCGCTGGCTGGCCGGCCGGGCCCCTGGCCCCCCACTCTGAGCTCCGACGTGCTGATGGAAAGCACAGAAAAGCCCAACGTGGCCGGGGCAGGCGGGTGGAGGCCGGACACGGCACCTCACATCCGCACGGGTGCGCGCCCACAAGGCCACGCGAGCGCCCCGGACGCACCCAGCCCCGCTCACCGTCCGTGGGCGTGGTCCCCGGGGCAGCAGCGTCCCGGCCCCACCTGTCCTCCTGGGCCCTCTGCAGGGCCCGGCGCCCCGGCAGGGCAGTGGGGCAGGGTGCTTGCGGCTCTGGGCCTCTGCGACAGCGCTGAGATGCACGACGACGTCCAGGGCCGAGGCGTGTCCAGCTGTGAAGCAGCTGCCCGAGTCCCCCAGCTCCCCTGCAGGAGGTGGGGCCGGCTCCCGGGGCCCCTTCACCCCCACCGCCGCGCGCCCACCAGGCCATCCTGTGCCATGTGGGCAGCACCGGGTCCCCTTGGACAGCGCAGGCCGGAGGGCGCCTCCGCGTGGCTCCTCCAGGAACCCCCCAAAGGGAGGTGTGAGAAGCCCGCGGTGCCCATGCCTGGCCCGACCCCGTGTCCCCCTCCTCCCCTGCAGTGACCCTCGGAGCCCGACTGCCACTGCGGTTGACTGCACCTGCCCGGACCACGCCCACCGGGCCACGCCCACCGGCCACGCCCCTGGACCACGCCCACGGGCCTTCGGGGCTCTGCAGGGCTGCAGGAGAGCCTCGAACACCCTCTGTGAAGGCCCCAGAACTAAGGGGCACAGGACCTGCTAGTGGGGCCGTGGACCCCCCCTGGTGCCCGTGCCCAGCCCAGGCGGGGCCGCCGAGGGGGGCACGCCGCGGACTGCCTGCGCCCAGCGCCCTCGCAGCGGCCCGGCCTTGGCTTCCGCTAGAAGCCCCCGCGGGCTTCCCCGGGGGGCCGCGCGCCGGGCGATGAGTCCCCGTGTCCTCTGGCCCCTGGGCCCTCGGACATCCCTGGCCGCTGTCAGCCCGGGCCGGTGCAGTCAGGGCGGACCTGCCCAGGCCCCGCTCAGGGCTGCCCAGTCTCGGCCTCCGGGGCCTGGCCAGGGACTGGGACAGCGTCACGCAGTTCCCCCGGCGTCCACCAGAGGGCGCGGCCCCTCGCCCCCCCAAACTGCAGGTCGGCCCGGACAGCGATCAGCGATTTCACTTCAGGCTAGCGGGATGCGGGGAGCCTGGGGGCACTTACCTTTCTAGGACTCCGCGTGTTGGGGGGCAGCGCGCCCTAGGCGGGGCTCAGCCAAACAGGAGGGCTGGGGCGCCGACGCTAACAGGCGACCTGTCCAGTGAGCCGCGGAGGCGCGGTCAGAGCGCGCGTCTCGGCCGGGACAGGGGTTGTTCACACGTGATCTCGTTTTCTAAAATACGTCCCAGCCGCAGGACTGACGCTGCAAACACAGTCGGTGCTGTGGCGTCTGGTGCCACCGCTGCGAACAGCCTCCCTCCCGCGGGCCGCGCCCCGCCCGGGGCCGGCTCCCCACTTGCAACGGAGGCTGACGCAGTGCCAGCAGGAGAGCGCGGCGCTAGTCGACGCGGAGAGCGAGGCCAGCGCCTGGGGAATATGGCCGAGGGACACGCTCGCTAGCGGGGGTCCTGCCTCCGGCACCACCCTCCGTCAGCACCACCATCACCTCCACCATCTCCACCACCACCACCACCACCACCATCACCATCATCACCACCATCACCACCACCATCACCACCATCA